CCTCTTTCCCTACCTAAATTATTTCCACTTCCATGTACAGTTAGTCAAATTATAAGGTTGAGTTGACCTGTCTGCGTTTTTATACTTTATAATATCAATTTATGTAACTACTTTTAAATTGGGGTTTATTGCAATTGGTACTACAGTTAAAGTGGATGAAATTTTAGTCATGTTTGCTATTATTTGTATTTATTGTTCTATTTATCATGTTTTACTGCTAGGCAAAGCAGTTTGAGGCGGACACAGGCGAAGGTGAAGCATTGGATACTCACCATTCAAGTTTTGATAAAGATGATTTATTGCCTAATTCTTTAAGTCAAGTTGATGGTTCAGTGTTTCAACAATTGCCCGAGGATTTGAAAGCTGTCATTATTGAGCAGCTTCCTGCGCACAGGAGGCCAGAGATTTGCTCCAATGTTGTTGTGGTCCCTCCTCTTGAAAACCATTCGGTGTCAGTAGGTGTTGAAATTTCGGAGAGTTTTCCTGGATCAAATTATCGTGACAGTCTATGGGCTGGGAACCCTCCAAATTGGGTTGGGAAGTTTAAAGTCAGCAGTTGCTTAATATTAAAGAAATTTGCAGAAATGTATCACAAATCAGGATTGACTAGCACATTATCTTCAATTTTGCACCAAATTACATCTGAGTTGTATGAGCTAAATCTAGCCCAGCTGTTTTCTGATGAAACTGTTAACATTATGTGTGAGCTACTGAGGCAGTATATCAAAGTGAAGATAGAAAGAGATATTGAAGAAATTTATATTTGTTTTCGGCTTCTAAAAAGGTATGCTAATGTTGTAAGTTGGTATGGCGCTCTTTTATAAGGTTTATTGTTTTTGTTTAAGATCTCACATTGACTAATGACATGGGAAAAATAGAATATATAAGTGGGGGGATAATCTTCTCTAAAGCGAATTTTGTAGTTTTGAGTTAGGCCCAAAACTCATTTTTTTTAAAAGATGGTATCAGACCCTATCTTAGTGATTATTGATAGGCCTATGGGACCACGTACCATTAGATTGTTGTCGAACTATCTGTAGATGTCCAATTTTATAAATTTCACGCTCGAGATGATTAGTTCAGTGAGGGTGTGCGTTGAAGATCCTACATTGACTAGTGGTATGGCCAAAATAAAACATATTAGTGAAAAATGATTTTTATCTTATGAGCCGGTTTTGTTTTTCAATTTACCTCTTTGGTGTTAATGGAGACTGTGCTAAAGAGACCTGTAGAGGAAAGAATGGATTGATAATAAGGTTTTTTAACTGCTAACATACTGTCTTCTGTGTGTTTGTGCTTTGTACCACCTACAATTTTTTAGCTCATATCCACTGAAGTCATGTGAGCTTGGTGTTTTGGTAAATTCCTTAGAATTTTGTGTTATATTTCAACTTTGATTAATGACACAGTTACATAATTATTTAAAGAAATAAGCTGTGGATTAGATTTTTTAGATTGTTGTGTCTTTGGAATAACTCAATTTGTTTCCAGGTTTGCAGCAAAGTCCCAGTTTTTCCTACAAGTGTATAATAGCGTATGTCCTTACCTTCAGGTATACCTTCAGCCTACTTTCTTTTTTACCGTCACCATGTATTTGTCAATTAAACAACCCATTCTTAGAGATAGGCGGTAAAAACAGTTGGGGTGTAGGGTTGTGTAGTGGGGCACCTGAAATATTTTAACAGGATGTAAGTCTAGTGATGAACTGGTTGGCTTGTTCTTGACAAAACATATAATATAGGGGACTTGTATTTGTTAGTCTTAATTAAAATCTGTAAATACAGGGATTATGCTTTCTAAGCCAAAATAAGTGGTGTTTCTTTATAAAAAATGAAACGTATGAGGGTGATTAAATAAACATAAAAAATTACAAAGAGGCGGATAAGGACCCGTAAGCAAAACTACAAAACAGAAATCAGTCAAGAAAAATAAATCAATGGAATAAACATATTCCCTCAAAACAGAAATCAGTCAAGAAAAAGAAATCAATGGAATGAAGATATTCTCTCAACATACCAAGGAATCTTCTATAGAAACACAGTTTTGCTCCAACCAACTGCACCAAATTGTAAGCATAGATTGCGCATTGCCAATAAAATTTTAGTTTGTTTAACCTCTACCAAAACCATAAAAGATTGTAATCATAGTTGTCAATAGTGGCCGTAGCGGCCACTATCGTGGTGCAACAGAGTGGAGTGGCTCCGCGTCGCTATCCTGACCTTGGAGTGGAGCGTTTTTGAGTAGCAGTTGGAGCCGCATGAAGCGTATCTGAGAGTTTAAAAAACTCGAAAATACCTCATTAAGAGAATTTTTGCCATTTTGAGTGTGAACAGCACAGCCCTTGTCCCTTCTCTTCTTTGCAAACAACACAAGCCTAGTCTCCGACTCTCTTTGTGCGTCTTTTTAGACAGATTCTCCGACCTTGTCTCCATCTGTCTCTGTTCATGTGTTTTCTTCTCGGACTTCCTCTTCTCTTACAGTATTCATTCTCTCTTGTTTTTTTCTTTGTTATTTTTTCTTTTTTCTTTCTTCTCTTCTTATTCCGGTGATTTTTTTCTTCCTTTTTCTTTCCTCTTTTTTTCTGTTCACTTTGTTTTTCTTTGTTTCATTTCTCTCTCTTTTTTCTGTTCATTTTTTTTATTTGGCCATTTTTGTTCTTTGGTGATCAACAGAACCATGGCCCAACCAAAAAATCAAAGCTTAGGGTTGGTGCAGCTGGAACTGGTCCCAGTCCTAGTCCCACACCATCATTGGATTATTAAAAATGATTACTGCATTAATTTAGAGTTATTTTTCTGTTTTTTTAGCTTATATATATATATATTACTAATTATTCAATTTATATAAATATAATATTAAAATAGCGGTCATCTCGTAATCTTGCTATCCCACTTTTGGGGTTAGTCGCTCCGCTCTGATATCTGGTATTGATAACACTTGAAAAGGAGAATAATTTTATTATTATTATTCATACATATTACATTTTCCTTATACCTATTTGTAACAATCTAATCTTCTAAAATAAGGAAATAAGGAAAAATATTCTGAAAAATATCCTAGAAGATTCTATAGATATTTTCTCTAATTAGGAAGATTTTTCCTCTAATTACAACACTCCCCCTCAAGTTGGTAAATGAATATCAATCATTCCCAACTTGCCTACAAGATCTTGAAATCTACCCGGAGGGAGCCCTTTTGTAAAAATATCTGCTATCTGAAGTTCTGTAGGAACATGAGTTGTAATCACAAAGCCTCTGTCTAGATTATCTTTGATGAAATGTCTGTCAATCGCAATATGTTTGGTCCTATCATGTTGTACACCTTGATTTTAAGGTCATCTAAAATGATTTTCATCCAGATATTATGACTTAATTGTTCAATTAATTATGATGTGAGGATGTTGACATGAAATGAGATATTGTGTTGAATGTGAATATGATTGTGGTTCCTCACACTAATGACCAGGGATGGCACGACCCTTGGGTAAGTGATGCTACAAGGACGGCGTCATAACACATCAAAATGTTCACCAGTGTCAAGTAACACCAAAACTGGAGAAGTAGTCAACTGCCTCTTCAACTCTTGAAATCTTTGCTCCCAAGCATCCGTCCAAACGAAAGGCTAATCCTTTCGGGTCAGTTGAGTCAAAGGCATTACTATTTGGGAGAAACCCTCTACGAATCTCTGATAGTAACCTGCTAACCCAACAAAACTCCTAATCTCCGTAGCAATTGTTTCTCCTATAACAGTTGGGACGAGGTTGAGGTTGAGCTCCGCTTATCATCCACAAAAAAATGGTCAGTCGGAGAGGACATTTCAATCACTTAAGGATCTTCTAGTGAACTTAGTGGAATCGCACTAATAACTAGTGAACTAAAATAAAATATTAAGCTGGATAACAGAATATACATATGAATGCAGTTATAAGTATTTATGTACAAAATATAGAATTATGCATATACTGTCATCCAAAATAATACTATCCTAGTGCTGATCAAGCACAAACAAACAGTTAACCAATATGGTAACTGTAACACTGGAACAAATCTCCCCATCTTGTAGCGAACACTGTAACCAGCTCCAACCTAACCCTGACCTGCTCCCACACACAGTATGATCATCGCAGTCTATCCACATGGAAACAAAAGGGTAAGTTAGAGTTCAATAAGCAACCATACAAGTACAAAATAAAAATCTATACTACACATTAATCCAATCAAGTCCCAAAAGGGACTTTTATCTCAATCAATCATCAATTCATCAAACATGAAGTCAACACCACACACTTCATCATATTAGAAATCATACAATAATAGTAACACATGACAAACATCAATGCATATCAATCATCTAATGCGTCGTCACACATACACCTAGGAGATCTCCCTAAACACAGAGCAGTATAAGTGACATCCCAATCCTACCGAAACCATCCCAACTGTTTTCACGCCCAAAGCGCCCGCTCGGTCACAGCTAATCAGGATATAAATCCTCACTCAGGTTTACTCGAATGATTTTACTTACACACTTGAAAGTCCGGTTCCACCGTCAGGTATAATACAGTTGGATACAGGCTTACTACGACTTTGACATGCATTACCAAGTCACTTGTGAAGTTTTCCCACCGACTATCCGCAAGGAACCACGCACCTTCCCCAGTATTTGGTTAAGGGAATAACCCTCAACCTCATACCCTGCTCCAACGCTAGCTAAGGACTTAGAGGAGACTCACCCAAACTAGTGGCCTATCTAAGCACCACTCTCACCCAAAACTAGTGGCTTATCTAAGCATCACTCTCATATAAATCATTGGCCTATCCAAGCATCACTCTCAAGAGACTCTATGTGAGCTCTTCTAGTTCAAAAACATTTTCCCTCTCCTTAAGTCCTAGGCTAGACACATGCCATAAGGCATCACATGCAATAATGCATCATACATCATACATGGTTAATCTACCATCATGATCAATATCATCCTCATATGAACATATACACATGTCATAGCATATTTAAACATTCATACATATTATTACCAAGCATACATATGAATCATACACCCCCATCCATTATATATCATACATACATGATCAAATCTTCAACTTTAAACATGGATAAGTATCATTTTCAATCAATATTACTAAACATATTCATGCCCGGCGCAGCCAGCTCGCGCCTGGTCTAACATCCAACCTGAGAGCTCTAAGGCTCATCCATGCCCAGGGTAGCCAACACGCGCCCGAACTAAACTCAACCCGAGAGTTCTAAAATTCATCCATGCCTAACGTAGAATTCCCATGTTCGACGTCCTTAAGATAGAGACTCATAGGAGTCTACACACCCGATGCACCCATCCTGCACCTGGGGCCATCTAGATAGAGACCTCTAGAGGTCTCCACGCCTAGCGCGCCTACCCTGCGCCCGGTGCCACATCATTAAAACACCCTCCAAAGTTAGTATCTGATATCGCGCCTGGAGTGGTTCTCTTCACGCCCGGCGTGACATATCTAGAAGCCCCCATCTCCAATCACGCCCGAAGTGATTAACCTCGCGCTCGTCGTGATTAGGAAATGGCTGCTATAACGTAGTTAGTAAACTGGAACGGGCATTCCCAAATTGGAACGGGTCGTTCCAAACTACTAAAACAAGGGTGATTTAGTAGCCCAGAACGGGTCCTTTCCAAACTAGAATGGATTGTTTTAGACTACTAAATAGGCCTATAAATCCTAGTTGAGAATGGGACGTTCCAACTCCAGAACGGGTTTTTCTGGCTTAAGAATGGGTTGTTCTACATGTGAGTTTTACACATGATGAAGGAGAGTAGAATGGGTCGTTCCGGATCTGAAACAGACCATTCTGGCCACTCACGACTTCTATAAATAGGCCACATGCATGCAGTTGAGGAGAAAAAAATGGGAACATAGAGAGAAGTTTAGAGAGAAGTTTAGAGAGAAGGACTCTGGACCAGGAAGCTTTCTTTTAGAAGATTGAAGTTCCCAGGTTGAGCTTTGGAAGGAAATTCTGCTTCTTCTCAATTCTTGGCTATTCTAAGCCAATCTTCAGGTTAGGGAAGCTTTATGCATTGTTTTTTTTTTGAAATGGTTAAGTTGAAAGTTGTTTGGGTGCTTAAGTTGATTTATGTTGTTTACATTGTGCAAGTTGGCATGATAAATGAACTTTAAATATGTTGATTGATTTGTAATTTGTGTTGAATATGTTGTATTTTGTTGAAGTTGTTTATAAGGTTGTAAAGTTGTTACGTTTCCTGATGAAGATGAGTTAAGTTGTTGTTGACTTAAGTTGTTTATATTTTGTGTGTTTGATGAAACTAAGTTGTTTACATGTTGTCTATCGTTTAATTATTAATAATTCGAGATGTATAAGTTGAAGTAGATTATTGCTGTAAAGTTCTTTAGAGTTCTTTAAAGTTGTTAAGTTGCATTAAGTTGATTTAAAGCATCAAGATGACTATTATTGTCAAGTTGAATGAAGGATGTCTATAGTTGTGAAGTTGTAAAGTTGATATTGTGATGACTATAGTTGCTCAAGTTGTTTATTCAAGTTGATATAAAGATGCCTATTATTGTCAAGTTGTATAAAAATGTCTATTGTTGTAAAGTTGTAACAAGATGCCTATTGTTGTGAAGTTGTATAAAGGTGCCTATTGTTGTGAAGTTGTATAAAGTTGCCTATTGTTGTAAAGTTGGGGACATATGGTGAAGATATATGTCCAATGTTGAGATACATAGACTAAGGTGATAAGTTGAAAGTTGTTTTAAAGTTGAATCCCTTAGTATTATGTGGGCGACATGGAAGTAGTCGATCCATGTCATGGTTGAATGACCGAATTGAGTAAGGTATCTAGTTAGAGATCTCTTAGTTGTATATGCGTGACGACGCATTAGTTGATGTTGCATATGTTGTTGCATTCAAGTTGCATATAATGTTGTATGAATGAGCTTATAGTTGAACTATTATGATAAAAATTGTGTGGTTGTGTTGTGATGATGAGTTGTTGATCACTAGGACTAGAGGAGAAGTTTTCGAAGTTGCTCATCCCATTGTGCGAATTGAGATAATTGTGGTTTTCTAAGAGCCCAATTTGTTTAAAAACCCTCCTTGAAAATTTGTCCCTTGGAGTGGATGATGTGTTGTTCTCCTCTAGGACTTGGTTGGTCCTATATGTGAGCAAGGTCGAGGCATACGTGTATGAAACAACCATGATATATAGGGGCCAGGCCGAGCTATACCGATTATAAGCGGCCAATTTGAGTAAAATACGATGTGTTAAAAATGTTGTTTCTATTAGATGATGTTGTATATCTATTGTTGTATATGTTGTGTTGCTTTAAGTTGCAAGTTAAAAGTAGAATTCTATTGTTGTTTATTATATGTTGATACTATTTTTTTATAATTATTGTTGTGAGCTTACCCTAGCATGTTTTCCCTTGTGGTTGGGACTACGATAACCATACCTTAGTATGCGAGCAGATCAGGATTAGGTGCTCTGCTGGACTGGGTGAGCTTCTTTTTTGGTTGGGACTCAGGAGGAGGGCTGACGTTGTATTTAGTTGTTTGGTAGCTGTCGCAACCCAAAAATTTCCGATCTCGCGACCTATGGTTTAGACATCCAACTTAATGGATTGATTCGGCGACTCTGTCTGTGGCGACAATGATGAGTGGGCGTGGAACGGACTTAGGAGGCTCCGGCGACCAGTTCTGTGACAGCAGCGACAAGTGGGTCTCGTCGGAGCTAGGCGCGTGGGACGTCACTGGAAAACGAACAAAACTCAAAAACTCAGATCTACTCAAATCTGCGCCAAATGGGACGTCATTGACCCGTGAAATGGACTCAGGAGGCTCCGGCGACTCTTTCTGTGGCGGCGGCGGCGAGTGGGTCTCGCCGGAGCTAGGCGCGTGGGCTACACGCGCCGGCGACTGTGGTGGCGCGTGGCGGCGCGTGGCGGCGTATTTCCCAGAGTGAATTCCGGCGTTGTGTTCGTCGGAGTTGGGCGCACCTTTTTGCCCT